GTGGTGAAGGCACTCCATGCCACTGAGGCCACCTGAGCCTCAAGCGACAGCAAATGATCCAGAAGTACCCACAAGCTGCATACTTGCTCCTTCAGAGGAAGTATAACCCTCTTAAGAGCAGGCAGCCTCCTGTCTATCTGGTCTAGGGAACCACCCACTAACAGTGCCTCATTCCTGTCTGGATTGAGCTTCAGTTTGTTGGCTCTCATCCAGAGAGCAAGATAATGATCCAGCACATCCACTGCCACACTTGCAGGTGTGGAAGAGAAGTAGAGCTGTATGTCTTCAGCATATTGCTGACAATGTACTCAAATGCCCTGGATAACGCCACTCAAAAGTTTCATGCAGATGATAAACAGCAGAGGGGAATAAAACTGAACCCTGAGGAACCTCATATTGGAGGCTTCACAGGGCTGAAGAACACTCCCCCAGCATGATCCTCTGGAAACATTCATCCAAGTATTGCCACCCATCCCTAACTTGGGCAGCTGCTTGAGAGGGATGCCATGATTAATGGCGGAGGAGTTTGGATTTGATATCCCGCTTTATCACTACCTGAAGGAGTCTCAAAGTGGCTAACAATCTCCTTTCCCTTCCTCCCCACAACAAACACTCGATGGCTGAGAGACTTCAGAGAAGTGTGACTGGCCCAAAGTCACCCAGCAGCTGCATGTGGAGGAACGGGGAAGCGAACCCGGTTCACCAGATTACGAGTCCACCGCTCTTAACCACTACACCACACTGGCATTGAAATCCACTGAGAGGTCACGGAAAATTATCAGGACACATTTCCCCTGTCTCTCTCTCCCAACAGAGGTCATAATTCAGGGTGACCAAAGTAGTTACTGTGCTGAAACCTGGCCTAAACCCTGATTGAAATGCATCCAGATGATCAGTTTCCTTCAAGAGTGCCTGGATCTGCTCTGCGACCACTTGCTTAAGAACCTTGCCCAAGAAGGGAAGATTAGCAACTGGATGGCAGTTAATTAGATTTTCCAAATATCATACACTCCCTTTCTTCTTTCTGATAGTGAAATGAAGCATTTGCAAAATATAGGCTCTATAGGAGCTTGACAGTGCTTGATATATCAAATATTTTACACAATGCTTCTTGACCTTTTGGCTAAGATCAGGTGTAGTGAAATAAGGAATGACATATTGTTTGCTATTGAAGCTTTCAAGAGCAATGCATAAATATAAATTCTATGTTATTTCCCCCCCTGAAATCTACTAATTCTTCAGCTTGAATTTGAAAGTACTATAATTTCAATATGGAATGGGCTGGCACAAGACCTGTCAAAAGGTGTAACAACAGGGGTTATAACAAAAGATAGGGACTCCCACTTAAATCAGGATAGAGTCAGGAAAGGACTCTACTCACCTAAATCAGTTTCCTGCCTTGATCTCTGATTCCTCCTCCTATTTCACACCCCTGCACATCTCTATCCATGTTTATGGTCCTTCATATTATGGTGATGGGTGGAAGTGTTCCTCTTTAACTCTATTTTCTGAGAAAGCTGCTGCCCTTTCCTACAGTGCAGATTGACTGGACATTTATTCCTTTCATCTTGGAGGCTAGACCACCATAACGGAATCAATAGTTCCTTGAGGATTTTTTTAGATTTAGACATTGCTATCAGTGTAATAGCCAAGGAAGGTTGTCTCAGTAAGATTAGTTGTTATATATATATATATATATATATATATATATATATATATATATATATTTGCACTGAGATGAGGAGGTTTGGATTTTTTTTTCTTGAGGAGTATGGAAGGAGAGAGGTAGCACAAACTATGTAAGATTGCCTTTCATAGGCAACTTGAAATATGTCAGATCAGTACTGGCTGTAAAGCAGCAGATGTATAGAATAACAAGTTGAAAGCACTAAAATATGGTCATAGAAGTCAGCTGCAACATTCATATCATGCTCCGCCCATGCAATGATTCTTATCTTTACATGTATAATCTGCAAATGGATTTTTATTAAAACTGGCCTCAAATCCTTAAGGCATGTAGGAAAACTATTATATATCATAAATAAAAATTCCCTGGAGATAGTAATTTAAAAATAGGCAAAAGAATATTTTTATATTTGATTTCCCAAAGTATAAACAAACAGATGGAACTTTTTTTAACGCTGGAAAAGTTTGTGTAAAGATAGCATTTTGCCCTATGCTGTAGTCTCATAAATATTCATTGTAGAAACATTGTTGTTTTCTAAGTAACAAATGGGAGCACATAACACTAGAAGTTTCCTTCAGAGTTTACTTCAGATGGCCTTTCAAAGTATGTTATGGTTACTTACAGACAGCCAGTGTCCAAAATGTTGCACTCCAGGTCACAAATATTTGGCTGAGCAAAATGAAGCAATGTTCTCCCTTTAATGATCTCTCTCTGATTGCAATAATTTGTCAGACTGCATCCAGTAATTTATAGGAAATATTCTAGGCATTTGTTTTCAATTCAGATTTGCATTGATTTTAGTAGAAAGCTGAAATGGCTCTATTAATTTAAGCTCTTTCATTCTTTCATTGACCTTTTGCAACCAGCAAAATAAGGGAGTGTACAAACTTGACATATAGTTAAAAGAAATAATGACTCTAAGACAGCTAGGAGTGGCTGGGACTGTAGGAGCTGATGCTTTATGATAGTGAACAGAGATGTTCGGGGTATGGTCTGAAGGCCATATAGCAATTTTCTTACAGGTAAGCAGATTTTTGCCTAGGAACTCTGTGTGTGCCTCCTTGGCTTTGAAGATAGGAAAGTGTTCATAATAAAGCCTAACTCCCAAAGAATATTTCTAGGAACGCTGTCGAAGGCTGCCTTAAGATCTAAGAAGGCAGCACACAGATAGCCCCGGGGAGGGGAGGAGTACTTCCGTGCTAGATGGTAAAGAACTATCGCATGATCAGTTGTAGAGCGTTTAATTCTGAACCCTGCTTGTTCGTGGCCAATCTGGTTAGTCTCATCTACCCATCGCGATAGTTTCGTCAGCAAAAAGCTGGCATAAATTTTCCCTATGATCGAAAGGAGGCTGATGTTACGGTAATTTTCCGGCTCCATTGGAGAACCTTTTTATGAATTGGTACTATAATGGCCTCCTTCCATATTTTGGGGATGATACCAGAAGCGTTGATTGCGTCGAAGGTTTTGGCCAAGATGCCAGCCCACCATTTTGGGTGTAGTTTGATGGCTTCAGCAGGGATCAGGTCGGGCCCTGGGGCTTTGCCCAATTTCAGCTGGGCTATTAGCTTGGCTATTTCGTCAGGATCGGTGGGAGGCCAAATAGGTAGGTGGGAGAACAGATGCATCAGATGGTCGGAGGGAGCATCTGCCTGTGAGAAACATTTCTTCAGGAACAATTCCCATGTCGGTGCAGGGATGACTGCCCTTGGGTATTTCCTCACCCTTCTGTTAATCAGAGACCAGAATTCCCTGGATCTATGTGATTTTGAAGCAGTAATCAAGGCCTGCCAGCGATTATGTTGCCACTCACGTTTGGCAATTTTCTGCGTGCGTTTATAATCTTGCTTGGCTTGTGCATAACTAGCTGGCAGAGTAGATGCATCGGAGGTCTTATATACATTATATATAGCACGAAGGCGCTGTCTTGCTTGTTTGCACTGAGAGTTATACCAGGGAGCACCGTAAGTATACTCGTTTCGATTTAATATTTTGGGTGGTAACCTGAAGAAGGACGTAAGGTCTGTCGTATGATGGTGGAAGCGTTTCAACACTATGCTATGCTCATCTGAGGCAGAGCCTATGTAGGGATGGGGCCCGAGGATTTCTTTTGAAAGAATTCCTGATACCTTTGAGCCTGGGTCTCCGACCATTTGATTCCTCTTACTTGAAGAGATACGTTGGTTACCATCTGGGTCGCATGTCTATAGGTCTCCAACTGCCAATTCAGGGAAAGCTTGGCTACAAGGGGAAGATGATCACTAGATTGTACATTCTCGATCTTAAAGGAGGAAATACACTTAAGTAGATCACTGGAGACCAGCAGGTAATCGAGGACGCTGTTTGATTTAACACTCAGGTGAGTGAAATCCCCTGGAATATCAGGGAGGCATGTGCCATTTAGGGGGACCAGATTTAAACGGATGGCCATTTGGTAGAGGAATACTCCAGCCTCATTAACTCGTTGGTCTTTAGAAGTTCTCCTCATGATATGTTCCAGATCATAATTATCAAGGTTTGGGGTAACCCACCATTTGGCTTTGGTCAGCGAGTCCCAATTTGCTGCTGTGCGGGCATTAAAATCGCCACCTATTATGGCCGGGGTGTTAGGAAACTTGACATAGCATGAGAGCAAATGCTCTTCTAGCGAGCCCCATTTAGAGCCCAGTTCAGAGGAAGAACCCCGGGTGGCAAGTAAACATTTGTAACTAGAAGTGAGATCTTTTCCCCGCAATCAGCCCGGTAAGAGCGTAAGGAGGCAAGGCCTGTACTAGAGTAAATTTAGAATGTAAGTTGAGGGAGATGCCTATTATTAGGCCCCCTTTAGGGCGGCCTCCTTTCAGGGAGGGGCAGGCAGGGAGTTCTAGAAGCTCAAAGCCATTTAGATCAATTCTCTCTACTTCCCACGATTCTTGGAACAAGATGATATGAAACAGGTTAATATACTCCAAGAATTCTGGGTCAAGTTTTTCCCCCTCCAGCCCGCAATGTTCCAACTGAGGACTGATAGGGGGGAGTTCCTGTTGTAACCAGTTCGTTGTCATTTCGGGGAGGGATGGGAGTCCTTTGGAGGGAAGGCAGACCCCACAAAAAGTCAGTTATTTTACTTTGCATAGCAGGCACCTGCTGAAGGTACCTAGTCTTGAAGTTGGTAGTGAGGTATTCTGACTGGGGCGACAAAACGGGTCTCCCACTGGCTAACCCAAGAGCGGACACTTCAGTGGGAAACTCCATAGGATTTGCTGGGACTGCCCCATCGCAAGGTCTAAAGATCGCCGATGAAACCATTTGGTTTATATGTCCGGTCGGGTCTTCAATCAAATCCGGGCCATTTTTGATGTAGGTGGGACACTCCCTGACCTAATGCTGGCAAAGGTACAGGGGATGTTCGGCGTACTGGTACCGTATGTATGTCGGGTCTATGCTGCTCAGGGGAGTATGAGGACTCCAGTTCCGGCATTGATGGATTAGATGGTAAGGAGTTGTTTTGGTGGAAGGAACTCTGGGTTACACTCCTCAGCGGGGGACTCTTGGAGGGCGAGTCAAAATTTATCAAGAGTTGGGATGAGGGGCCAGCTTGAGAGGCAAAACCTGGTTCTACCAAGCGTCGGTGGGTTTTGCCCACAAGTGGTGGAGGCATGGGTTTAGGAGCTGGACTAAGGTATGGAAGACTTCCTGCTCCCTTAAACCACGACTCCGAAAAGCTGGCGGAGTTATCCTGAAGAGTGGGCAGGACTTTTCCGTTCTTCTGGACGTGTATGAGCTGATGATTAAGTACTTCTAGTCTATCAATTATTTCTTGTTGTTCTCTCGGTGGAAGGTCGCCAAAAGTGGCTAAAAGCTCTCTTTCCTCCGGCGGGGTCAGAGAATTACTTGCGCCAGTGGGTTTCTTTAGAGCTCGTGGGGACGTAGGGTGAGTCCAGTTTCGGTGCGGATGGATATCCTCCAGAAGAGGAGGCTCGATGTCCCGAGGTACTCCCGACCTCTCCGACAGAGTCCACTCCGTACCGTGACCAGCAAGTAGGAGGGGGTGGATCATGCTATCCATAAAAACTCTTGTTGGGATGATATCGTACCTTGCCAAGAGTGGTTTCTGCCTGATGATAGCTGAAGGGATCCTTGGAGAGTAAAACGCAAGCATCACTTTCTGTTGCCCGAGGTGCTGGTTCAAAGGTAATACTGCAATGAGATCACATTGTGAGATTTCTATTGATTGTCAACTCAACCAATTAACCATCAATCATGCTAAATCTAAGATTCTGATTTTCGCCAGAAGTCGGAGATTATACGAATGGAAGCTTGGTGGAGCAAAAATAGAGCAAGTCCTAAAATTTCAATACCTAGGAGTTATTTTTCAATACAATTTGGGGTGGAAAGCACATATTCAACACCTACTTAATAAGGCCAAACTCTGTCATATGCGCTCCTCCGATTTTTCTTTTCGGATGGAGCTTTGCATGTTCCTCGGCCCTAAAGGTGTTCAAGGCAAAAGTGGTTCCCGTGCTTGCTTATGCTGCCCCGCCTGGGTCGTGATGACAGACCTTGCTCCTCTTGAGACTTTGCAAACCAATCCCTACGCCGGCCCTAATGCTCCCCTGTGCGTAAGCAACGCAGCCATGCGTTTAGAATTGAGGATCGCATCCTTAGAAACCTGCCTGTGGAAGCAAGTCTTCAATTATTGGTTATCATTGTGGCATAGATTACCAGACCATTACCTTGCCCAATGCTTATGGCGAGATGAATTCCCAGCCTTTGGACCAGTAGAATTCATGCCAAACTCCTGAGCTATGGAATCTCTCCTCAGATTCCCTAAAACTAGATCAAATCACTGCTCAAAGACTGATCCGCCAAAGACTGGATGACATCGATTTACAGCAAAATTATATGCTGGGGGGAGGTGTTTGTTCGCCCCAGAACATTGGTATCACTTTAACTTATTGCGTTCCATCATACCTCTCCCTCCCTTTCGACTGTTGCCCATAGGCTGGCCTTCACCAAAGCGAGGTTTAATGTTTTTCCCTCCAATGTCCTGAGACATAGATTCTCAAAGGGCCAAACCTCCGCCATGTGCGAATGTGATAAGGAGATGCCGGAGTCGCTTCAGCACATTATGTTCACTTGCCCCTTATTTAAGGTGCCACGGGCAAACTTGTTGGGATCAATCGTACAGAAATTAGAGGGTACTCCACCAAAATTCCACCTTGCCCAAATCTTGCAGGATAAGGATGCCCATACGACCCTGAAAGTGGCTAGGTTCCTGGTCGCTGTCCTTACCCAAAAGCGTCGCCAAGGAGCACCACAAGCTAATTAAGGCGTAGTATGCCATTCCATCCTATAGTAGCTTATTGTTATAGTATTGTTTTAGCGGCTGTTTTTTCCCCATGTGCACAGGCTGTTATTTATGCCTTGTTTTTATCTGTATGGGCCTACGGCCGTAATAAATTATTATTATTATTATTATTATTAATAAAGCCTAATAAATTGGGATGGGCAGGACATGAAAACAGTTCATCAACATGTAATTATGTCTACAAGCAACATTATTCACAACTAGAAGAACTGTTATAGACATAATTCAGGTGAGCAGAAGCCTGAAGGAGCGTCTCCCCCTCCATCATTCAGCCTGGACACTGAGGTCCACTTCCAAGGGTCTTCTAGCAATTCCCTCACTGCGAGAAGTTTCAGGGAACCAGGCAGAAGGCCTTCTTGGCAGTAGTGCCCTCCCTGTGGAATGCCCTCCCATCAGAGGTCAGGGAGCTAAAGAATTACACCACTTTTAGAAAACATCTGAAGGCAACCATGTTCAGGGAAGTTTTTAATGTCTGACATTTTATTTATTTTTTTATATTTTGCTGAAAGCTGCCCAGAGGTTTAAGCAATAAAATTACTATTATTATGTTGTACCCAGGTGCATCATAAATGATGATGAGATGTGGTTTAAAAGCAAAACAAAGCAAAATATTTTTCATAAATGTGCCCAATATTATTTTAAAGGCAGCGTGTCTCCTTGACTGTCCTAAGGGGAACATTACAATATGTTACATCTAATAGTAGAAAACGGGGATACATCTTCCGTTTTAAATGCAACATCTAAGATCTCAGTGAAATTGTCCTGTCCTAGCTGGGTCCCGGTTGATTCCGGGCCCAGATAAGTAACCAAGATGTTGTTCCAGAAGTTCTGCCACCATCACATTGAGGTGTTTAAGCCACAGCTGCCGGACTCCAACCTAGGCCCATCTGCAGCCTTTTAGAGGTTTCTGCAAAGAGTCATGCTCACGAGAGCTCCAGATCATCCTTCCCTAGATGTTCTCAAAGAATCATCATCTGGCGGGGGCACGACATGTATGTTATTGTAGCCCAAACTCCCTCTGGAGATTTGGCTGATGCTATCACTGTTTAATTTTAGTCAGCAGCTGAAAGCCTGTCTTTACCATGAGGCTTTTCCATGAAGAGTGATGCCTGGGCTGCAGGAAAAATGATAGCTGTTTTAATCTTTATACTGCTGTTCTTAAATCTTTTATTATTGATGGTTTTATGCATCTGTTCCTGTAACTTGCCCTGGCGTCTTCAGATGAAGGAAGGATATAAGCTTTAAAATTAAACAATTAAAAAACCAAAACACATTTCCTTCAAATTATAGATAATTTTTATGCAGACTTCACGAATGTTGCTGACATTCACAGTTGCTTAATATTTCTGCAGAAACAGAATGTCACAATCATATAGAGGCGAAATCTAGGCTTCAAAGTGTATCCAGGAATGAAATTTATGCAATAACATAGTACTGTCACATTCTGCTGATAATTTGCTGGTGTCCACTGGGGAGTAAACATTCTTGCAGACACAGTGAAATGTGGCTTATTACCACCCTACCCTGAAAATCTGAGCCTTCAAACTCAATGCCCTAATGATGAACTATCACCCCGTTTTCCTCAATGTCCTCAGACAATGCTTATACATCAGAAATAGAAGGCTTAGCTTAGTCACGTCTGACTGAAGTGGTGGTTTGAGAGAGACAGCATGTTCAGGAAATTAGTAAGATGAAAGGATGCATTTCATGTCAGGGTTGCTGGTACAAGGCTGACTCATTTGGAAGTAGCTAAAATACTTAACACAGAAAGCTGCTGGTAGCTACTGAGAGGGAGTGGGGTGAAGTGGAGTCAGTTGGGCTTCCTTTCAGTTCCTTAGTGTCCATGTCCTGAACTGCCGTCCCTATGAAAGGTAATGGCCTCTTAGAGCAGAGGTGGGGACTCTGGGGCCCTCCAGATGTTGCTGAACTTCAAGTCCCATCAGCCCCAGCCAACACAGCCAATGGTCAGCCACAGCCTAGAGGTGGAGCCTCCTCTAGGACTCTATGCCGCTGCCATAATGTGTAATGTGATGCAGTACTTCATTATTCCATATCTCATGGAGCATTTCCACACCAGGTAGAAGAAAAGCCACAAGGACCGTCTATAGCTCAGTGGTAAGAGTGCATGCTGTCCATGCAGAAGGCATTTGGCTCAATCCTCATATGTCTCTCTTTTTGATAGCTGTTCCCCATCCTGGTTTTAGACCAGAGAGTCCAAACCCCTTTCCCATTTTTATGTTGGTAAGGTTATTACAAAGAGTGTGTGTGTGTGTGAGAAAGATTCCCTCCACCCTTGGGCATTATCCAAGGGTGTTGTTAATGATGTGTGGCAAGTGTCTTGAAAGTGCTGAACAGTTTGATAACCAGTTTGGAGTTTTTCCACAAATTCCTTATACTTTCAGGAGAGGAGCTTTCATGGGCAGTTTTAATTAGACACTGAGGGGGTCTGATTTTTTCTAAAGGCCGCTCTGCAAGTGAACACACTTTATAAATGTTTGCTTGGGTTATTCACATCCCATCACAGGCTTTGTCCTTAACTGGCGGCCAGGTTGTTCTTTTCCCAAATGAACGTCTCACAGCAGCAGTCACAATTACAAAAGAGCAAAAGCATTCCCAGAGGTTAATTCTTTTTTTAACTCAAAACAGTCAAGTGGATTCTTTATTCCCATTTTTTTTAAAAAAAAACTTCCCGCTGAGAACGATAAGTAGCTTTAGCTCCCCACCATGTTGCAGCAAAATGCCTCACTCTGCTTGAACCTCCAGTATAATCAGGACAGCGGAGAACATTTTAATGGATAATACATTGTGTTGGATACAAATGCAAAGCACTCCATCAATTTCCATTGCAGTTCCTAGGATAAATTGTTGTATCCAACAGTTCACACATTTTGGGGAACATTTTCTGAAATGTTGTACATTGTACCTTTTACCCGAGTTTGTGTTAATGAAGTTGCTTCTTACCCCTTTCTCTATAATTTAGTTCTGTCATTTCACACTTTTATCATTCACATGAATTGGATGCAGCAGTTATATAATATTTTGACGAATGCATAAAGATTGGGTGACGGGGCCAGAGAAAATGATCTGCCATTACTTCCACCTGTTTGTACCGATGATCACATGCACAGAACTTCTCTCTCATTAAATCAACTAAGCCATAAGCTGCTTGCAGTCTGATCTAGTTGCCACTGTACTGGCCTGCAAAGCTCAAGGAAGAAACAGTTTCAATAAAGAACAGAAATTCTGCTTTTGTGAGGTTCCCCCTGCCCATTATATTTGTTCTGTTATCAAGTTATGAATGCTGGATGATCAGGGCCACAACAGGAATAACAGAAAATTCACTCCCATTGTTCTACAAAAACTATTATCTGCACAGGTTTTGTCTTACACTTCAGCTTCTATGCTGAATTCAATCAGGGTTCACTTGAACATGGAATGAATATTGCACTGTTTATTTTCTAAATAAGTGTCAAGAAATTAGACAGGGGCTAGACATTTACTTAATGTAAACCATACAGGAAAGCTGAGATCTTCACCTTTTACAGAGTTTGGATATTCCTCTTTACACACGCCAGATGCATTATCCAGTCTCCACCTCCTGCCTGCCTTGAATTAATCTGACATTATTGAATACACATTTGATACTCTTTTCACAGAATGCTGTGTTTCCCTTTTCCATTTGCAGTCACTGCAGGTTTATTAAATCCATATACATCAAGGTAATAGAGCACTGTCCAAATGTGCTAATGCCCTCCCCATACTATTAATGAGTCCAAATATCAACTTAATATTGAAGGAGGCTGTGTCTCTGTGGAAATTTATTAACCAGTGAAGAGTCATTAACCAAATATGGGCATGCTGAAGGGCAGGGGAATTTAAACTGATACTGTCTATTATGGGCCAAGCAAGGGGGGTGGGACTCATTTTGTGTGTTCTACACCTTGTCTTGCCCTTTTATACAACTATTGAAATATTTGAGCCATGATGCTTTGTCCTGGTGCATGTTCTATTAAAAATGGGACTGAAAGTTGACTACAAGCAAATATCTGTTGGTTCTTGACTCCACAATAAAATACACCAATGCTAAGGTTGCCATATTTCAGTTCCATTATTGGCTAGTCCAATCTCCACATTATATTGCCACAGAATGTTGAGGGTTAGTTCTACTAATTATTCAAGAGCTGCAAATAGACTGCAAAACGTGCAACTCCTCAAACATGTAGGTGTGGGAGGAACAGTAGAAACATCAACTGGACCACAAGAAGGCAAACAAATGTAGATAAAGGCATCTTTTTTTTTGCAATTGACAAAATCCTTCTCCTACAGCCAGAGCTTAAACACAAGCAGAAGACGACAAGTTACCCCTCTGGGGATGGGAATTCAACCTCACAGCAGGTAACGTGGGGCTGAAGACAAGGTATGTGTCCTACCCTTCCCACTCTTATTCCCCAAGATTCTTGTCAGCTCCTTCTACTTGGTTTACACTAACCTTCAGTATCTGATCAGTCAGAGACCTTTCAAAGATCACCACATATCCAGAGGGTTGAATACACTTCTTTTAAAGAGACCCTCAAAACGGACTCTTCTTCATTTTCTATTTGCCTGACACATCAACTAATATCCTGACTCATCTTCTCATGTTCTAACATTCCTCTTGGCATGGTGATTCCCCATTCTGACTTGATCATCTGTGTTTCCATCCTGTTCTGCTTAACACATGTGCCCAAATGTGCTAGAACCTTCTCATAACCACAGCTGATCATGCCCCTATATTAGCTTTGGGGTAATTTTCAAGTTCTCTTGCTAATGATCTCCTTTTCAATTTAATTCAACAATGGACAATGTTTGTATCCTCCAGCATCTGGACACCCCTGTTTCTACCAGCAGCAATGACTAATGTTCAATTTAACTTTAAGATACAAGACTATGGCATTCAATTAATTTCAATCAATAATTTTTTTGGGGGGCGTCCTCAGGGTCCCTCACTGAACATCTGTTATGCCAAAATAATATTATAGCTGTCAGCCCTTAACAATCCATGTAATCTCCCACTGTCATCTTATTCCCTGTTACCTAGTTCTGCCCTGTTCAGCTAAATCCATTTACAATCCTTCCTTGCTATAAGCAACCTTATAATACTCAGACAACCCGAACCTTTAAATTAATAAACTGGTAAATTTAAGACTCCAACAGGAAGGTCTGTGGTTCACAGGTAGAGCAACTGCTTTGTATGCAGACAGTCTCAGCCTCGATCCCTGGTATATCCAGTAGGGCTAGGAAAAACTGAAATTAGGGATCTGAATTCGGGAGAGCCACTGTCAGTCATTAGGACAGCACCTTATACAGTGGTACCTCAGGTTACATACGCTTCAGGTTACATACGCTTCAGGTTACAGACTCCACTAACCAAGAAATATTACCTCAGGTTAAGTACTTTGCTTCAGGATAAGAACAGAAATCATGCTCTGGCGGCACGGCAGCAGCAGGAGGCCCCATTAGCTAAAGTGGTGCTTCAGGTTAAGAACAGTTTCAGGTTAATAATGGACCTCCGGAATGAATTAAGTACTTAACCTGAGGTACCACTGTAGACAGAACCACTGACCTGAATCCTGTGTTCCTATGCACTACATGTTATCTTGCTGACCATGGTCATGGATGTGTACCATTAGAAAAGACAATGCATCCGTTCCTCATGCAGAGATTTACTTTCTAGATACCTAGGATTGAGAGCTGAGCCATAAAGGATGACAAGGTAATGAAATTTCAGCATGGCATCCCCAAAAGACAAAAAATGGCAAAGCTGGGCAAGCTCTCTCTCTCAGTAACTTTGGACTAACTGGGTAATGATTCAAGTGCCGCCACCCCCATAGACATTTTCCTTTTCTAAAATAATGTTTGCCAATGCTTTGAGTTCTGCCACATGGAACTGGTGCTGAGATTTGCCTTTATAGACTCAGCCTTTTGCAACTGGCAAATAGCAGAAAGACAGGAAGGGCCATAAAACTTCATTAGTCAAGCAACCTATATATATGGTGGGTTGTGTATCCTTTCCCAACATGATATGCTCAAGAGGTTTTGGACTACATCCCCTCTCAGCTTCACCCAGCATGGACATTGGAGTCCAAAATACTTGGCGGGCACCACTGAAGGAGGCTAAGTCCATGCCCCTATCACCAAGGAAATCAAATATGAGTAGAATCATAGAATTGTAGTGTTGGAAGGGACCACAAGGGCCATCTAGTCCAACCCCTGTCATGCAGGAATCTTTTGCCTAATATGGGGTTCAAACCCATGACCCTGAGGTTAAGAGCCTCATGCTCTAGTAAGTGCTGTAAGATCAAGCTACCACAGGAAGTCTTCAACTTAAGGGGTAAATCTACAGTTGCACTTACTTACTTACACACACACACACACACACACACACACACACTCCATCTCTCTCTCTCTCTTTTTGTCAAGTCCAAAAGCGTGAAGGGAGAGTCTTTTCACATTTGGCTTAGCATGCTTAGAATTCTCCCTATGATCATGAATGATGCATGACTGGGGTCTCCCTTTGTGGCATGTAGATTCCAAGTGTGTTCAGCAAATAAAGGAAGTGTTATAGTAACCGAACATGCTGGATGCTGTAATTGCTAGGGAATTTCACTACAGGTGGAATTCTAGCTATATTATGCTGTTTATTATAGGTGAAAAGAAGCTGCAGATGTTTAATGGTTCCTAAAAGTCTGCTCTGCTCAGTGCCAGAGTCCTGCGTTGCCTTTAGGCATCATTAGGCTTTTGCAGAGGCCTTTAGGTGCTATCTTGAGCCTAGGGTCTCAGTGGTGTGCACCAGGTAGTGATGTGCCAAAATCTGTCTTTAATTTCTCATAAATTTTCTTCCCCTGCAAAGGATGCTTCCATTTTTCTGTCACTTTCTCAGAGTACTTTAACATTTATAAAGGAGGGTGGTGGTGGAGAGAGCTTGTGCTTACCTGGTTGTTGCAAGGTGTGTGTGTTGCAAGGTTTGTCTGCTTCTCTTTCTAGTAAACATTTCTCCAGCATGCTGTAGTCTCCCCAGGTGTCCATGCTTCCCAATTTGAGAAAGCCCCATGGGAGCAGTTCTCATTAGGTCGTCCCCTGGGCTTTAATTGAAGTAGGGGCACCTAGGAAGGCTGCAGAGTGCAGACCACTGAGTGAAATGATTTGCAAAATGAAGTAAAGAACATTCAAAAACACCCCTTTGCCATCTCAAAAGTATGGTAAGCACAACAACCACTCCCTGCACCTCACCCATGCACGTTTCCCCATTTCCCTCCTTTATAAATGCAATTACTTATGCAGCTGGATCTGTTTCAACAAAGTAAGGCATTCATGCCAGCCTGCTTTCAGGAAACATCTTGGAGTAAACAGCCTAAATATTTTAAGTGTGGGTGTGTTGCTAAACAAAACTTCATAAACAAAATGCAAATAGATGACTGCATTTAATTTTCTGTGATAAAGATCTTGAGGATTATATTCATAGCCAGCATTTAACAACTGTCCTTATAAGGCACAAAGGGTAGGAAGCATGACTCAAATGTCTCCAGAAATGTAGTCATTAATGGTCAGATGTTTGCTGCTTTCACGGACATTGGCTAAAGAAAGCAGAAAATTTAAAAGCTATCTATTAGGACTACACATAGCTGTTTGACTTCACCAGTGGTCCTTGCGGGTTTCAAAACATCCCAAGAAGTATTAGAATAAGATTAATTATATAAAAACTTATCTGGCTAGAGACTAAAAGCTAACTACAAACTCAAAGGAGACGCAGCCTCCTCGTAGCCATCTTGCCCCTTCCACACACATTCCGCAAGTGTTCTCAGCTGTGAACAACTAGGACTACATGGTATTTTAAATATAATTAGTAAGTATTGATTTAGAAAGCAAAGTCGTGATTGAAAATTATTTAGGTTTGTTTCCCACACTGGTGTGCGTACACACAACTGCAACTTATAGGAACAAATGCTCTATTAAGAGTTTTGGATGAAAGACAATTTCAGTTTTCAGAGAAAAAAATGCTATTCTTGAAATGCCCTCAACATTTTAACCACCACATTTTTAAGGCTGTGATCCTATGGTTCCTGGAGCTATAGGATAAATAAAATAAAAATAACTGTGTTAGGGTGGGGTGTTGTTGTTATTGTTTGTTATTATGCTATATATGTTTGTGTTTTTATATTGTAAGCTGCTCTGCAATCTTTGACTGAAGGACGGTATAGAAATTTAATTAATAATAAATTAATAATAAATTGATGGCGATCCACCAATAGAGAGGGAAGTCTGCTTTAGAGATCCTGTTGTAACTGAAAGTAGAAGACTCAAATCACTGGAGTTGTATCGCTGAAACCCAGGGCTGTCTTAAGCATATGCGGCGCCGGGGTGCAAAGATCCGCCCAGCGCCCCCCCCCCAGGTTGCCCGGCCCAGGCACGCAGGAGGGTGGAGCCTGTCGGCTGCCTCAGCATCTTGCTGGCTCGGTCGCCCCTGAACATGTGCTACATTGCCACCCACAGCAGAAGAGCCCACTGCGGTGCTCCAACGGACGGACGGGCTCTTCCCCGGACTCAACTCTTGGGCTCCAGACTCTCAGCCTGGCATACCTGAGAGTCCAGCGCCTGGGTGCCCGGCACCCCTAGTGCCTATGGATAAGACAGCGCTGCTGAAAGTGCACTTCAGGTGTGTGTCAGAGATTCCCTGGACACCCCCACCTAGAATGGGAAAAGTATTCTAGCAAACCTGAAGCTGATGTAGTTATTTTACCTCCCATTGGAAACAATGCAAAGGGGAATGTTGAGGGGAGAGGGGGTGGGAGTAAAGGAAGAACCTACTCGTTTTCCGACTGGCAAAAGTCCAGTGGGGCTTAGGAAGTGTGGTTCCTCCATCATGGACTCTCACCCAGCCACCTCCACAGGATAGCTCTGCCCTTTTTGAAAGCAAGAGAAGTTACAGTATACAGTATGATGTGAAAAAATCATGTTGATGACGATTCAGAACTTGGAGGGGAAATATTAGTTGTGAAAATCCATTTAAAAAGAACACCTCAGTGCTGCTAAACACTTTGGGTGGTCAAAATATGGATCTTAACAGTAAGAAATCAGTCTGAGTTCTGTTGACAATTGCAAGAAAGACTTTTACAAGGTTTTGGAAACATCTGAAGTGGGCTGATGTTGAATATGGTACAACTAAAGACTGGATTTTGGCACTGGAAGAGAAGCTAACACAAAAGCTTTGTAGCTAAAGAGCAGATTAAGAATGATTTTATTTATTTTTTTGGCAATTTGGTATGATTGTATTATATACACAAATAAAGCAGGACCCAGCAGCCAATGTGCTCTTTGCAGATTTGCAACTCATGCCTTTGGGAAGTGCTGGATTACCACAGTCCTACCACTAACTTGCCAGCTGAAGACAAGTTGTTTTAACTTGTTGCTTGGTTACTGCCAGTCTGTTTCAGGACTGTGTAAGGAAATGTACAAGCAGCACCTGAAACAAAAGTCTACAAAGCTAGAGTTGGAGAAATTTCTTCATGTTTCTTACGTGTGTGTGTGTGTATACACACACACACACACATATATACATACATACATTTTTTAAAATGCAACAACATTTTAGAAATATTGCCGTGGGGGAGTAGGGGAGAAAGGGGAGTCCCTGGCAAGCTGGTTGATCGTTTAAATCAATCAAGGCTATGAAGGCAGAAAATGTCATACAGAACAAAAGTTGTGATAAATATTACTGTGAAGCAAAATTATGTAGTGAGCCTTCTATTTTAACATGCCATGAGCAGTTTTTAAGCAATTTCCTTCCTTTAATGGTGCTTTACCAATGGCTGATGCTTAATTGCTAACCTGCCCTTCACCCTAAGGTCCTAGGTTGGCAATATACACAGCCCATAACCAAAAATTAAGCAATGAGACTTAAAATGTGTCAAATAAAATACAGAACTCAGGCCTCATCCAGACTTGCTTTTTCTAGGTACAGGTCTGCGTTTTTCCTGTCTGTGTCTGAGCACTTGGGTTTTTTGCCCTGCCAGATTCCCTATGAAAATTCACATAACAATTCAACACTAAAGGGTGGGTTTTCCTAGGGAGAGCAAAGGGGAAGTGTTCAGAAACAGACCAGGAAATTGCCAACCTGGGCCTAGAAAGTGTGGGGTAAAAGGGAAGTGTGGCTGAACCCTCAGTTACAAAACAAATCCAGTAGCACAACCGAGTAACATTTAGAAATAAGTTTCCTTTTTCTATTGTTTGGTTTTATGAATGCTAATCATTAATATAATGAAAAGAGTAGGTAGAAATTTAAATTTTCAAGACCTTGATGTTCAAAACCTCTCACAATGCAAGTCCTCTTTAGGCATTCAAAATAGCTGGGCTAGTATGGAGATGTGGCTGACTCCTCTTTTACCGCTTCCTTTTTCGTTCCTCTTTGTGTGCCCATTGGTATGTGTAGATAGCCCTTGAACATACCATACAAGTTCCACAGGAGCCAATTCCAGGGGGCTGTGCATGCCTGGGCACCCACAAAAATATAATTGTGGGGGCTGGGCACCCACAAAGTCAATGAGAAAAGCCGGCATGTGGCAGCAGCACTGCCTCTGAGAGAGAAGCAGTTCAGCTCCATCCTCCGCAGCCGGCCAGCCAGCCAGTGGGGCATCCTTTTCCAGGGGGGTGGGGTTCAGATGTGGAGGCAGAGTGTCTCTGCCTCCAAGTCCCTCCCCGCAGAAAAGAACACCTCGCTGGCTGCAGAGAAGGAGGAAGAAGAGGAGCCGCCGCTGGTCACCGCAACGCAGATGTGCAACATCACACATCCGCCTAACAGTGGCAGGCACCCACAATCCTGAGGGCAAGATGGTACCTTTGACAGGTTCTCACACATATTTTCAATGACCCCATTTGGAATACCTGTATATACCATAGTGCTTCACAGACAGAAGCTGGGATTTGTCATATGATACATGATTCTCACAAAATGCTTACCACCATTAAAGGCCAAATATATTGCAGTCACCAGGCCCTGGTGTGAGAGTGTCGATGTGTGTAAGTAGAACATAATGCATACATGTGGTCTTTTTGTGGAGTAGCATTCTACCTCTTATGCCATCACATCAGTGGAAACTAGGCTATACAATTTTGAGATGACCCCAGTAATGTCCCTGAGTGCAGCAAGCCATTATCTCTGGAATGCCACTGGTGGAAGCATAATCAGCTCTAAGGCCATGACCATAGTGATTCCAGCATTAGGGCAGAGAGTTGCTATGTAACAGAATTGGCTACGTTAATTCCTACAGCAGAATGTTACCGAAAGACAGGAAGTTCCATGGCAAGGATCCCACACTCT